CTGCCTGCAATGGAAAAAAAGAGCTTGGCTTTGACATTTAACCACAATGAAATACAGTAGTTGGTCATTATAGTGGGCCATTGCAAAAAAGGGCCTTGAATTATTTCAATTTCCAATTAATTATACCGTGAAAGTATTAACAGAGGAGAATGGCACTCGCTTTTTTTCCGCTGAAGTGCGGAATAATGGTATCTTTATTGCCTACGAAACCGATTGTTGAAACTGGCATTCCTCCTGAATTCTGCAAAACAAAACATGGAAGAAAATGCGTGGAGAAATGCAGCTACTTTTCCAACTTTCGTTCCTGCTTTCAACGTGTCGAAGGCAGGAGCGCAGGTTCTTCTAGAAATTCTCAGCGCCGCGATGATGTGAAATTCTGTAATTTAAATTTCAAACCACAATTCAAAATATGTTCAACTTGCAATTCAAACAAATTTCAACTCGTAAAAAAGAGGAAACGATGCATTATTAAGGAACTTACTTTCACCCATTTACGGAAGATCGATAAATTTCACTCGACGATTTATGTAAAATTACCATGAAAAAAAAAAGAACGGGAACAAAATTTCCGAAATGTGAAGACTGATTCTTAAAACGTTCGATGAATAGTACTGCACTCCGTATATATGCCCAGGGATATCAAACGAGGACCTTGTGTCCAAACTTACGATACATTAAGTAGGCTAATGTAAAATGTACAGTGCTTACGAAGGATTGCTTTTTAAATTTTTCTATTACCTATGTGGTTATGCTGTTTTTTTTTCAACTATCCGGACGAAAGCACTCGGTCATTAGTACAAATATACAGTACTCATAGAAAATCCTACTGTAGATTGAAACGGCGGGAAATCGGCGGGATTTGAAATTCCTGCCTGTTCCCCCCGGCCCCATCATCAACGAGACCCATTCCCTCCTTCTTCGTGGCAACTTGCAATGAGCAATGCAAAAAGTTTTAACGAGACCGATTCGCGTCTGATTCTTCACAGGGGCTCCCCGGAGCGCAGCCAGAGGACTGAATGCTCATTTAGGAAGCCGTAATTGTTGATGTTGCCCAGGAATGCTGATGAGCTACCCGCTAGGGAAATTCATGGCACTGGCTTAATTGCGCCGCGGAAAATCTCTACACACATACACATCTCAGAAGAAAAAAAAAGGAAGAGAGAAGGAAGGAGGAACACAACAGACGCTTGCTGAGAACTTTGGCGTCGACAAAGGATAGGATACCTAATTAGACCCACTAATAGGACGGACTCGAGTGAAGGGAGAAAAGAGAGCGCAAAAAAAAAAGAAGAGAGGAGTCGGGGGCTGATTCATCTCTCCTGTTTCTTTTTTGCTTACTGGGGGCAACTTGATCACTCGTATTTGTTGAAGCACGGCCCTCGGTTAATTGGACGCCTGGGACGAAGGTGATTAAAATCGGCAATTCAACGGAGACGCGTGAGGAATCCCCGCGTCGTTATTCCTAATTTGTTTTTCATTCCGCTTCGCCAACGCCAATGACGGCGTTTGCGGTAATTGAACAATCCCCGTCCTCCCCCGTTCTCAGCAATAATAAGTTCAGTTATGCAACACATTAATTTCTCCTTTTTTTTCCCCCACCCACTCACTCACTGGGCAATCTGGATAATTACGTCAACATTGATTCAACTAGAAGTACCCGCAGTCCTTGGATTATTCATCCTTTTACGACTTAATGACTGTTCGAGTGACAGGAAGAACTTTGAAAACGGTGGGGACTAAACTTTTTCTTATAGCACTTTTGAAAGTGCATTTTTGTATTCTCTTGAGAGTGAAGCATGTTTTTTGCTTTGGGAAAAGTGAAGGAAGAAACAGGGACATTCCACGTGATCATCTCAATATAAATACTGACTAAATCATCTCGAGAATCATACTGTAGTTCTTTTGGCAATAGGTGAAAAGCTTCAAGAAAAATTTGGCACACAATGACCCAATAACATAGCCTTCTTCCAGTCTGTTTATATTAAAGGACTGAAACTCAGAGGATTCATGCATTTTCGAACTGCAGGAAAATTTCCAGAATTTCCGCTGAAACGAGCGATCACATACAAGTGATATTTTCATGCAGCCCCTCGCAATTTCAGATTACAGCCGGATAAACTCGCACAGTAAATCTAAAAAACTATAAAGCTTTTGTTCGCTTCTATAAAATGCATCTTCTTCATACTCCCCAAGTTTTTGCTGAAAAGTGCGTCAACTAAACGGAGAATTAACCCACGTGAGTGCTTCAAAAAAAATTTTGAGAAAGCAACATGCATTTGCCACGTAAATTTATTATAA